AGGATAGTGTGTGAAACTAGAAGGAGGTCCAATTGTTGAAATTCACTCAAATCAAATATTAAAAGACAGTAGCAAAGGTTTTTTGGCCAAATGTGGAGTGTGAAAGTCTACTTGTCGTAGTTCAGGTGAAATGGCTGCGTAAAATGCGCACGACTGGATCTGTGGTAGAATCGAAGCGACAGTTTAAAATCCGGAGGATGCTGGCCTCAGCACTCTGCTTCACAATGAGGCCATGAACTCATTTTATATCTATTACGACAGAGAACTTGAGTAGGTTTCCACCATCATCATTGTTATTATTTGTCTATTTTATTCATTATTACCTCGTCAGGATTATAACACAAAGGAAGTCCAGATCAGTGGGATGAGTACTGAATATAAAACACAACCCAAGTATAGACCAAGATGAAGCTTTTGTAGTGTGTGTGTGTGTGTGTGTGTGTGTGTGTGTGTGTGTGTATTCATTCCTTCTACTGTGCGGTTTCAGGGGTTAAACTCAGGTCACCAGTATATACATACATTCATACATATATACATACATACATACACAGAACATGAAGTTGGGAGGGGAGGGATGTGTTTGGGGGATACAAGGAGAGTTAGAGGGTGGTGAATGAAGATGGAATAAAGATGGATGATCATATTTCATTTTATATGTGTATGCAATCCTTTTTAACGCATGCAATTCTTAAGAGTAAATAAAAGTCATAATTAAAAATGAAAGTGTTAATGAATAAATCAAAGTTTTAACCTTTGAAATATGCACACGTGAAATGTCTGAACAAGTGAGTACAACTCGTGAAGAAGCTGTTGTTTTCTGTAGAACTTTTAGTGATCTTTGAATTTAAAAATATATTTTTTTTTTCAAAAGAAGTTTTAGTAAGTAGAAAATTGGAATTGACAAAACGGGGAAAAATATTCACCCTCCAGTCTCAGACTGTATTGCTGTGTTCCGGGATAAATGGGAGCCTACGAGTCAGATGAAGAAAACAAACACTCGGTGGGCGTGTGGTGTCTGGAGAGTTCAAAGGCAGGGCAATGTGAAGGAAGCAAAGATTATCTCTTCCTCTTTTGCTCAGGTTTCCCCTTAGCTGGTTTCCAAAGAATGTTAGTCTTCATTGTTTTGTCTGAAAAGTCCACTAAAGCACTTCAAAAAAAAATCACAGGACTTGTTGGTCATAACCAAGAGCTGCTGTGGACACTAATGCAGAGGTTTCCAAGTGTCCTTGGAAAGGCTAAAAACCTTTCACGTTTGGAACATAATCCAGAGATTTTATCATTTGATGTAGGATGAGAAACGAAGGCCTACGTTTTCCTGAGCCCACCTGTGAGAATCTGGTGTAGCTGTAGTCTTGACCCCTCTTCTGTTCGCTGAAGGCACAGGCTCTGTCTTCGAATGCTAGAGAATAAGATTGGAGAAGGGTAGAAGGCGGTGAAAGGAGTAGCTCTGGAGAAGGGAGAGGGGAGCAGTCTCAGAGCAATGTGGGAAGGAGAGAAACAACTGGCAGGTGAAGGAAGTCTATGGGAAAAGCAGAAAGCAGATTTGAAGTGACTCCCTGGACCGTTTTCATGGTTCTTGAAACACAGGAGCCAAAAGTGTTTTTGAAGTGACTCTTTGGTGGCCCTAACTCCTGTCTATCACTGAGCCCAGTGGCCTCATGCCTTGGACAGCCATTTGCATTTGTGATTCTCGGTGACCAGGGTCAGTGGAGGTCTACATTCTTCACCCACACCAGGTTGCCAGTATCCATGGTGCAATTTAGAACCAAAACCCAAATTGACCAGCCGGATGCTTAAGTCTCAGAGAGCCTGGGGAGTTTTAACTTACCATGCGGCGTGCTACCATGCTTCAAAGAGGTGAAAAGGGAAATAAAAACTTCGCCTTCATGGCTACAGATAAATAAGCCAAAGAGAAGATGCCATCTCACATGAAAGATTTTCTTCCCCTTCCAGAAACATGATAAATTCTCTTCCATTATTATAAAGTGTCTATTTCCCAAGAACTTTAAAATCCTGGAGCTTCCAGTTATCTGTTCTCCTTAGGCGTACTGCTGTATTTCTATGCCTAGTTCTTAAGCTAGCCCGAGTGGAGCAGGGATTTCAACCATTCTACACTTCCTGTTTTTTTCACACCACATTCTCAAGGCACATTTATTTGTCCATCTCTACAGTTTTAGACGTTAAGGTATGGGCAAGGTACTACCTGCATCTAGTGGATAGAAGCCAGAGATGGTGTAACAACATGATTGTGTATGGGACAGCCTCCTACAAGAAAGTACCTGATCCCCAAAGGTCATAATATCAGTATTGAGAAAACCTTTGAGATTCCCATGGTGTCCCTTATCACTGGTCTCTTCACTTCTACCCTCCTGTTGTACTCAGAGGCAGTCCTTTGCCTTCATCAATACCAACTTCTCGTCTCTCCAGTCCTACCTTCAAATAAACCTAGGACCTTTCCACATGACATCTGTATTAACTGGCAATTCTTGTTCATAGCTCAACTTAAGGGAAATGGGGCACTGTGCCTGGCATAGCATAATACAGACTAGAATAAATAGTAGAGTGTAAGCAACCAAGTGGGACTTGGGTACTGTATCAGTTATGTATGCACAGCTGTAACCAAGACACCTGAGAAAAACCTTAAGATGGGAACATTTTAGTTTGGCTCCTGTTTCATGGTTGGTTGGCCTCAAGAGCCTGGGAAGAACATCATGGCAGTATGATAATGGGGTGAATGACCTTCTTCACCCCGTGGTGGACAGGAAGCAGAAAGCAGGAGACAGGAAAGGGTCAAGGTCAAGTTAGCTCCAATACCCCACCCCAGTGACTTATTTCCTGCAGCAAGACCACACCCTGTAAAGTTTCCAAAACATCCCAAAATAAAACCAGGAGCTGGAGAAACACTTCATATTCAAGCCATAACTTGGGGGAACATTTTATATTCAAGCCATAACCACAGATAATTCTTATAATGGTTAAATGAGTACATACTAAAGAAGCACTAGCAATGTTGCCTGACATCTAAGAACTTAATACATAGAAGGCCACTTGTTTTCCAATCGCCCAGCAGCTCAGACCGGAAATAACCACACAGAAACTGTATCAATTAAATTACTGCTTGCCCATTAAATCTAACTTTTTTATTGGCTAACTTTCATGTCTTAATTTAATCCATCTTCATTATTCTGTACATCACCACGAGGTCGTGGCCTACCAGCAAAGTTTCAGTGCATCCTCTGGGGGCACTTCCACGGCTTCTCCCTGATTCTACCTCCTTTCTCCCAGCATTCAGTTTTGTTTTCCCCACCTAGCTCTGCTCAGCCCTATTACAGGCCCCAAACAGCTTCTTTATTGACCAAAGGTATTCACAGCATACAGAGGGGAATCCCACATCACCTCCCTTTTTCTGTTTAAATAAAAGGAAAGTTTAAACTTTAACATAGAAAAATTACATACAACAAAACAGGTATCAAGAATTATGGTTACAATATTTATATATACTTTATCATTTATTACAACTAAGGAAAACTATAACTATAACTATAAATTCTTTAACTCCATCAAACACTCCAGAAGGAAGTAATATTACCTAACTAAACAGAAGTGCATTGTAAGCAACTTCCAAAACTTTAGAATTGACAGAGACATCTCACTGCTGGACTGTCACCCAAAGTTCTTCTAAACATTTTGGGGGGCCTTAGTCCATCAAACCACATTAGTCTGGAAGGATTTTACGGGTTCTCATCCTCTGTGGAAACAAAAGAAGAACCTCTTTTCCAAAGTAACATATCCTTAGACCCAAATTATGAAATCATGATACCTTTAAAATATATATGGTGATTTAGCTTAGCATACAGAGGGGAATACAGAATACAGAGGGAAATCCCACATCATTGACCATTATTATTATTGGTGTTTTCTATACCAAGATCCATGTTGGCCAACTCACTTCTTCTTTTACAAGTCTGGGAAGCAGGTGTATTTTAGTAATGGTGGTTTCTCTCAAATGCTGTCTAAGCTATCTATTTTTTCCATGTCTGTCCTGACCAGTGTTTATTTTAAGGTGATGAGGCAAGGTGTCCCCTATTTTTCTTTTGCTTGATTTTGGGTATTTCCATACCTTCTTGAGACAAGGAACACGGATGTATGTGAGAGCAAAAAGGACAAATATTCAAAGCACTTTAGTGGATGGCAGAATTCTCTGCCTGTATAGGTGTATCCTGGGCAAAGTGTGAGCTTTTGGCAAGAGTAACCCTGTGCATTGTGATGTATTTCACTGAGATGAAATCTGTAGAATTAAAAGAAAGTTTGCAACCAAGCTAGTTGTTACTTTTGCCCATGAATGTGTGGTAGAAGTAGAGAAAAGAGGTACAGGTGTCTAGAAGAAAGGGAGGCTTCTAAGTTTCATCTCAAAAGACATATCAAAACTAATAATAAGTATTTGTGAAGGTTTTTTTGATTGGTTTTGGTTTTTGTTTTGCAAAAAAAATGGTAATTGAGTCAACGAGAGAGTAAAAGACTATATAAAAAGAAGATAGTTGAGTCTTCTCTGAGAGGCTATCTTTGAATGAATGGATTTGTGGGTGGGTGGGTAGGTAGGTGGATGGATGGGTGAATAGGTGAATGAATATGTGGGTGGGTGGATAAGTGCATAGATATGTGGGCAGCAAGTGGATAGATGGACAAATATGTGGATGGTTGGGGATGGATGGTTGGTTAGATGGTTAAATTAAGGGCATGCTCGTTTTCAGGGGTGCTGAGGAGAATGTACTTCCAGCTATAGATTCTGATTGAGAAATGCTAAAAGCCCAACTCACCATACAGAAAATGAAAGTGATATGTGTGGTATGGTTTCCCTAATTTGATAATTTATGCTTTATGTGTTCTGAATTATGCAACAATTGTTACTCAGGTTATGCTGGCTTATTGAATGCTGTGTCCCACTCAAACATTTGAAAACAGACTTCCATATTAACTATCCATCTGTTTTACTCTTTCAGATCATAAGGCAAATGGACTTTCGGCATCAAAAGACCACCAAGAAGTTACAGTAATAGAGTACCAAGGTATGGCATCTTAAAGGTTTGATTGGATTGGTTTGTTTACATACTGTCCCCTTCCCCCGTGCACGTGTGCACGTGTGTGGGTGTGTCATCCACAGTGAGAGGACAACTTTGTGGAGTCAGTTTTCTCCTTCTACTTTTTCCCCTGGATTCCAGGGATCAAACTCAGCTCTTTAACTGCTGAGCCATTTAACTTGCTGCCTGCTTACATCTTATTTTCTGCTTGTATGGTTTGTTTGGTTCTTGTGATGGCATTTATTATCAGTCATGATGCTGGTAGTGGATGCTATTGATCATGTACTTGAAGTTTCTGCAGTGGCCACGCTGGTAGCCATCTTATAGCCATCAGGTTTTGGTCTGTTCACCTGAAGAGGAACTTTTGGCCTTCAGGCACCCTATCTTCAAAGATGAGCAAGATAAAGGTGGGGTAGAAACTCCATTAGGTCACCTGGGCAGTACACAATTAGGGTGGTAAAACAAAAAGCACTCAGATAATTCTACTAAGGCCTTGAGGTTGTGATACACTATGTAATGAAGCTAATAAGGCACACTGTATTGCGGGACAATTTCAAATGAGGGAAGGTGGCCAAGAGGATATAATTGCCTGAAAGTGAGTTGGACTCTGGAGTATTACAGGAGGCCAAACAGAGCTGGCAGCATGCAAGAAGGGAGGCTGGGAAGGCTCAGAGTGTGCACAGCAGGAGAGGGTGACCTGACCTCAAGAGTCCATGAAATTCAACCTTCTGCTCACATTTCCAGAGGCGCCTACCTAGGTCCAGGCACATGCGGTGGGTGTGCATGCATGCCTCAGCTCTTATATCTCTGTTAAATGTCACCATTATGTGCTTTAGTCTTACATTACTTGTAAAACATTGTGGAAAAATTCATATGACTTTAAAATCTGATGTCTTATAATGTAAATACTTCAGTGGTATTGAGTATATCGAAGATGTTCTTAAATCACAACCTTCCCTAGACCCAGAACATTTTCTCTACCCCCAAAGTGAAATCCTGTCTTCACTCGGTTTTTCTCTTTAAAGGCGTGCTTTATTTTTAACATGGAAAATCCTATAATTTATCGCAATCAAATGTTAATCTCAAAGATGAAGTTACTGTGCTCAGTGAGAAAGTACTTCATGCAAGGCCAGTGCTTACCCGTGTACAAGGTGCTGGATTAATACAGGGAGAACACATGTGAACACACACACACACACACACACACACGGGGGGGGGGGGGCAAGAGCGAGCGAGCGAGAGAGAGAGAGAGAGAGAGAGAGAGAGCGCCAATCTGACTCCAGAGTAAATGTTTACCATTTTCTTCATTCACTTTTTTTAATTGTGTTACGCTTTAGTTCTGTTTTATCTGCTTCTAATGTGGCCCTCCATTAAGCAAAAATCAATTCGTAGTTTCTCCCATAGTTTTCTTTTGTTGGTGGTGGTTTTTTTGCTTTTTGTTTTTGCAGTAACTTTGAGTCTGTGACATTCTGTGATTTGTTTACACGAAACACATTTCATTCAGGTTTTTTCCCTCGTATTTCTCTGATGTCAGAGAATTATGATGTTATGAATTAATCCCTGGTTCTCAGGGCTGCTGGTCTGCCCCATTTCCCATGGCGCTGCCAAAAGCAGATTAAGCCTGAAATCAGGGCAGCGCTGCCAGCTTGTACATCACAAGAGCAGCTCTCTTGTGTCCAAACCAGAAATTATTAATCAGAGCTTATAGCAACCATTTTCCTGAACAATGTCTTTTTTTCAATCAAGGTAAAACAGATGTTTTGACAACATATTCCACCTTAATAGAAAAGGTTGGTACCTTTTGAGTATTAATGTGTCTTGTGTGAAGACATATGATTTATGTCAATACTACTTCTTTTACTATTGAAAACAGAGGTAACATTTTAGTTCAGATTTGGGCAATGTAAGCGTAGCCTTGTGATGATGTCATGTGGAGGTGACCTCACTGTTTTTCCCCATGGATGAAAATACCAGGCCATTTACGGAGCACATGTTACTTGCAAGGGATAAAATATATCAAACACACACATACATATTTTTATATACATAATTTTGACAAGAATTATTATTTTATCATTCCACTAATATGAGCATGATGCCCCTATTATCTCAGGCCTAATATATGACCAAGGTCTAACCTGTCGCCTGTGCTGTGCTGGCCAATGCTGACCCATGTCACCATAACCCACAAGCCACATATGGAAAATTATGCCTTCTGGGAGTTTTAAATTTTGGCTGGAGAAAAGGGAGACTTAACATCTAGGTTCTTTATCCTATATGTTAGCCTTACTGGCACTTTTACTATCTGTATTAATATCCTAGGACTGTCTTAACAAAATACTACAGACTCTAAAGCAACAGCCTGTTCTCTGACAGTTCTAAAGGATGGTAGCTCAAGATCAAGGTGTTGATGTCTTAGAACAGTGGTTGTCAACCTGTGCCTCCTGGCCGGGTGGAACAACACTCAAACAGGGGTCACCTAAGACCATCGGAAAACACAATATTTACATTAGAATGCATAACAGTAGCAAAAAATAGTAACACAATATACTTTTTGTGAAGTAGCAACAAAAAGAACTTTATGGTTGGGGTCACCACAACATGAGGAACTGTATTAAGGGGTCACAGCATGAGGAAGGTTGAGAACCACTTTGTTGGGTTTCTTGGCCTTGACTTCCCTGTGCAGGACACATTCTCAAAGACTCTTAGAACTAAGTTTCCTAGCTTCTAAATCTTTGATCAGATGTTACCTTCTAAAAGAGATCAACTATGCTATGTACACTGTGCCCTTGTCCCAGCAGTCCTCCACCTCCCCTGTTGCTTCTCTCTTCCTTATCTCTGACCTTCTGGGTTGCTTGTTGGACTGACTTTTCTTGCTAGATTGCAGATCCCAAAATCCAAAGGATCCTTGCTCTGCCCAAGTACAAGAGCAATGCTGGCCCCACAGTATTATTGGACATATTTTGGACAATTGGATAGATCACTTCTTCACATTACATATGTTCAGTAAGAAGGAGACGAACGTGAAGTCACTAGTGTAGGAAAAGTCATTGGTCACATTTTCTAATAGAATTTCCTCCTGTTTTTCCCACAGGATAGTGTACATGTTTAGCTAAATGTATGAAATTGTGTGGTGCAGTATCAAATTATCTCTCAAGATGTAGGCGTAAGACAGAGAAACACTGAAAAGGAGTGTGGGTGTGTGCATAACTGTTGGAAAACTCAACAAAATACGGGAAGGAAACCTATCTAAAACTCAAGACTCCGGAAGTTACCACCCTTTCTCCTTAATCAACAGCACAGAACTGTTTCCTCAGACAGGTCCCTTAGCACATATTTGTCTTTGGAGCAGAGCTGTAAACACCTCTAAAATGATCACTCCATGTAGCGTGAAAGCTTAAAGCTTTTATCATTCAAACATATGCCTATAGACTTTTTGTTCATGATTATGCAGATGAGATATGGGACTCTTTAAAAATGACATTAAATATTCTTAAACATCAAAATCAGACATATGGAAAAGATTTGAACATTTTATTCAGTGAAAGTTCCTGTGCTTTTTTTTTTTTAGGTCAAACCACATGCCTTATGGTTAAAGATACTCAGAAATATGAAGCATTTCCAAAATATAAAGGAGCCTAATTGAAACATACTTGTTTTTTTTTTTGTGGGGGGAGGATGGGGTTTTTTTGTTTTTTTTTTTCAATACAGGTTTCTCTGTGGCTTTGGAGCCTGTCCTGGAACTAGCTCCTGTAGACCAGGCTGGCCTCGAACTCACAGAGATCCACCTGCCTCTGCCTCCTGAATGCTGGGATTAAAGGTGTGCACCACCACCGCCCGGCGAAACATACTTTTAAACTACTTCTAGCCGGAGCTTCTGCTTGGCAGCTTGGAGAACTACTGAGACCAGGGCTGAGTGACTCTCCCCTAGTCATTTTGTCTGGACAGTCAAAAGAGGTGACTCCCTCGGAGGCTCAAGGAATTCCTTAATGATCCAACTGTGGTCAATTTGCTGTTACAAAACTGAGCATCTTTTGCGACACTGAAATGAGATTGGTGCGGAGACTCGTCTTTGAATCTCCAGATTCAGGCAAAGTTATAGGCAGTCCTTTTGCAGTAGGAACCTACAATTAGTATAAGGCTGTATTAGGTGTATATAGAGTGAGTCACCAGGGGGAATGTAGCCTGTGAGGAACTTCTGTGCATTTTCCTAGCATGCCTGGGATGGACTAAGGGTCTTTCTTAGGTGAAAATGTTAAGTACTCCCCTTGGCCTCCTTCTTGATGCCCATCATCATTGCCTGAAATGACACTGTCTTGCCTGCATCTGCCATCAAACTTCAGACTCCTCAGATGCCAATACTTAGACCAACAGTAAATAATTAGCCACAGCAGCTGTTTATTAAGTACTAACAATTTTTAGGCTTGCATGTTTCACATAAATTGCTGCTTTTGAAGACTCACAATTGTGTGAGTCACTATCCCATTTATTGATGGAAACTCAGATTCCAGAACTTGAATTATGTCACATAATCATTACAGAGAACAGTTGTCATGTTCCAAATTCATCTTTGGGTGAAGCCAGCATGGCACCTACTGATGTGATGTATTTATGTCTCTGCGTGTGACTGGATGGAGATGAATGGATAAAAGGAAATGCAAAGAAAATTATAAAAAGTCATTTTAAGATGTTTTTAAAGCTTTTTAAATTAAGTAACATGTAAGATCATAGGAAGAATTAAAAGGCACATTTTCCCTATTGTTTCTAGAGGCTATTTTAGCTTGTAAAACCCCAAAGAAGACGACGTCCTCCAGATTGGAGTGGAAGAAACTGGGACAGGGTGTCTCCTTGGTTTACTACCAACAGGCTCTCCAAGGTGAGACACTTAGACTTGAAGAGGTCAGCACGAGAGGATGTCAAGTGCAGCCATATTCCTTCATTTACAATGGGAACAAGACATGACTGATTACTAAAAATGTGTTTCTGTAAGTGTGAGATGAAATGAATAGTGTCTGAGACCTAAAATACAACAGTTACAAAAACCAAACAGGGCAAAAGTAGGTGAGTTCCACTGAGTCCTGGGATCCTTGGTTGCTTAACACAAAACACAATTATTTTGCTGGCCTGGTAAACTAAGCTGTTAGTAAGGAGAAAAACACTAATCTGACTTTGGACCCATATGGCGCTGCATTCCTTTAATCTTAGCACTCTAGAGGGAGAGGCAAGCAGATCTCTGTGTGTTTAAAGCCAGTGTGATTTGCACAGCAGGACAGTCAGGACTACAAAGAGAGACCCTATCTCAAACAAAACAAAACAAAACAAACAGAAGATGAGATTGGGATTAGGGTTGCTGCCCAGGAATAGCAGCCTTACCATCTTCCCTGATTCCCTCTAGAAAACAAGCCTACCACTGAGAAGCCTGGAAAGTTGGGATGTAAAGTGGGATATTATTTGTATTTTAATAAATAAATCTTGCCTGAAGACCAGAGGCAAAGCTAAAGCCACTAGAAGTCGGGTAATGGTGACACACACATTTAATCCCAGGATTTGGGAGACAGAGGCAGATGGATCTCTGTGAGTTCAAGGCCACCTTGGACTATACAAGATAAATGCAGAAACAAGTCCAGGTGGTGGTGCCTCACATCTTTAATCCCAGCACTAGAGGGAATATAAAATGAGAGGAGAGAGAGGCTTAGGCTGCTTAGTTGGCAGCTGCCCAGCCTTGGCAGAGGTAAGACTCCTCTAGTGGGCTAGGCTGCTTTGCTTTTCTGGTTGTGGGGTTGGACCCCAGTTTTTGTCTCTGGGTTTTTAGTCTACGCACTACAGAGACGTGTGGACTGTTAGATATAAACGGAATCTGGAGAGTGGGAACACATAGACTGCCAGTTACAATGGCAGTTAGCAAGTACTTTTCATTTGTTGTATGTCTTTCATTCACTCTCTACTCTTCTTTCAGAGTCTATAATTTATTACTAATTAAAATGTGATGATGGTGGCTGAACTATGGCATTAGTTTGTGTGCTGGTAACTTTTCTGTCGCTGTGAGAAAATACTACAACAAAAGCAACTTAAGGAAGAGAGGGCTTATTTGACTTTTTGCTCCAGAGGGAGAGAGTCTATCACAGCAGGGAAGGCTGGGCAGCTGGATCAGGAAGCTTGCTAATCACGTTTTCATCCACACACAGGAAGTCCAGGGATGGATCGCCTCCAGCTATGCTCCACCTCCTAAGTGCTTGATAACCTCCCAAAACAGGGCCACCAACTGGGGGGCCAAATGTTCAAAGTCATAAGCCCATGAGAGACATTTCTCATTAAACCTCCACACTCATTGAAGGGCACATGTCTTTAATTCCAGGCACTCAGGAGGTAGAGGCAGACAAAGCTCTGTGGGTTCAAGGCCAGTCTGATCTATATAACAAGTCATGCAAAGCTATGTGATAAAAACCCTATATAAAAACAAATTAATAAAATATTCCATCAGATTCTACTCCAATAAGACAGGACTCAAATTTCAAATGGCTAATAGGACAGGTATTTTCACATCCATTTACTACAGCTGCCAATTTAGGCACTTGCATATTATATAATCCCATTTTATTTTATTTATTTTTCATTTTATTCCATATACTTACTTGGGGGAGTGGGGGAACACATGTCATCTGGAAGTCAGAGAACAATTAGCAGGAGTTTCCTCTCCTTCCACCATGTGGAACTCTGGGATGAAACAAATTATTTGACTCTACAGCAAGCACCTTTACCCACTAGGCCATCTCACCAACTCACAAAAAGCCCACTTTAATTCACTACTTATAATCATCAAAATCTAATCAAGATAATATTTTTAAGGTCCTTTCCATCTACATAATCTTCTCTAGTATTACTTGAATGGCCACATATAAAATTCTGTTCTGACCTATTAAATCAAACTGTTCAGTTTTGAAAGCAGAAATAGATACTAGACAGGTGGCAAAGCAGGGATTCAGTTGAGTTCTTTAAAATCAAACATGGTGCCAGATGTAATGGTACACACCTTTAATCCCTGCACTCAGGAAGCAGAGGTGGGTAGATCTCTGTGAGTTCAAGACCAACCTAGTCTAGTTAGAGAGTTTCAGGCCAGTCAAGGCTACATAGTGAGACCCTGGGAGGGACGTGAAACTAAATAGTATTTAATAGTCTAAAATGTCTTTCAAATACATAATATGCATGTGTAAATTCAAAGTTTAAATTTAAGGTTTTACAGAAAAACAAATGCTTTAATTTGGAATGAAATAACTTGAGGAAGACATTGCATGAAAAGTTGCTTGCATTGTTTCTAACATTATTGTCTCCCCCACCCCCAAAAGGTGACTTTAAAGATCGTGCTGAGATGATAGATTTCAATATACGAATCAAAAATGTTACAAGAAATGATGCTGGAAAGTACCGCTGTGAAGTCAGTGCTCCATCTGATCAAGGCCAAAACCTGCAGGAAGATACAGTCACCCTAGAAGTCTTGGGTAATGCGCACGTACATGTGTAACTCCTGTCAGCCGCCCCGTCGACACCTCCAGCCCTGGGGGTGAGACACTAACCCAGTCCCAACCAGGAGTGCCACACTCTACAAGTGCCTTCTCAGCAAGACCAGGCTGTTCCCCTCAGCTCACAGGCTGCTGAAATCACTAATTCATTTCCACAATCTCTCTATTTAAGACTGAAGTAGCTCCTAATGGTTCCACTCTGGATCATGAACATTTATTTGCCCAAGATTCTAGGGTTTTGTTGTTGTTTGTTTTTCAGTATTCTATATGGTATTTCATAAGTTGATGGAAAACCAACAGAAGAAACAGCAATTGTAGACGAGCAGAAAAATCAGAAAGTACTTGGTTCAAAAGAGTTAGCATTTATTTGGTAGCTAGCAGACGTTAAGTGCTTTCACATAGTATTTTACTTAATCTTCACTACAAAACTAAATTTAACAAATGAGGAAACAGAAGTTAAACTATTTGCCCGGTGCCACACAAATAGAACAAGTCCCAACCATGTTATCCAGTTGTCATTCAGATCCAGATAAAGTTAACTCCAAGGGTAATATGATTAATCAGCATAAGAATGATTAGTAGCCGCAACAGTTCCTATACGGCAGTAGGTAGGACCATCTTTTCTATGATGTTAGCATACAAAACCAGAAAAATAACCTTTTCTCTTTTAAACAAAAATATCACTCAGAATCTTTCTGACATAGTACTGGTTCTCAGCTTCGTGACTAAGGTCAAGTATAAAGTATAGTGACATGCTGGTAAAGAGAAAATGTAACTCGGAAACTTTGCAGCCATTTTAGTTGGTATAATCATTTTCTATTGCTGCACAGTAAGTAATCACACGCTATCTTAAGAGATCAGTCCTTTCTGAACTTCTTGTTCTATGGATGGAGAGTCCAGTAGCCAGGCTGGGTTCTACGCAGTGTTCCACAAGGCTGAGATGAAAGTTTTACATGGACTGAATTCCCAAGCTCCTTCTAGGTGTTGGCAGAGTTTTATCCTTAGGACTGTAGGACTGAGATCTCATATCAAGCTACCTATCATCTAGAGTCTCACTCATTTCTCTGAGGCTGCCATGTTCCTGTGACCTCACCCTTTTCATCTTCAGTACAACAAAGGCATGCCTGGTCCTTCTTATACTTTGAATTGTCGCCATTTCCTTCAGTAATTAACCAGAAGAAGTCACCCTGCAACTAAAAGACCCATGCTGGGGACTGAGAGATGAGCCATGAGTGGTTAAGAGAACCTGTTGTTCCTACAGATGATCCTAGCTGGTCCAGGTCCATTTCCCACATCCACATGGGAAAATGACAAACCTGTTACTGCAGGTCCTGATGATCTGCTACCCTCTTCAGGCCTCCATGGGTATTGCATGCACTTTGTGCATATACATACATAAGGGCAAAACATTCATATGCATTAAATATAAACAAATAAATCTTCAAAAGGTCCATGTTGTGTGGCCACATCCTTCTTTTTAATATTACAGATAATAGATTTGGAATCATGTCTTTTTTTTTAAAAACAGGGTTTCTTTGTGTAGCTCTAGTTGTCGTGAATCTTACTTTGTAGATGAGGTTGGTCTCAGACTCACAGAGATCCACCTGCCTCTGCCTCCCAAGTACTAGAGTTAAAGGTGTGCACCACCCTAATCCCCTAGTGACTTCAAATCTTAATTTTATTTGCTGGATTTCTTCACAGTACTTTTATATTTTGAATATCTGAGAGACAATGTGTTCATACTGAAGATGGGGATATTATAGGACTGTCTTGGAATTCGGCCCACCATTGTCAGTCCCAAGTTTTCCAGATTATTAATATTTACTTACTAAATTATTTTACTTCAAATCCCTAAAACCCACTTTTCCCCATCAGACCCCACTTCTTATTTAAGTTTTAAAAATATTTTATAATAAAATAAAATATAATATAAAAATCCACTTCTTATAGTGTCCTACAACCTTTCCAAAAGTACCACCGGAGTGGTACTCCAGTACTGTAGCTGGCTAAGACGGGTCCTGACCCTCTTGGACCTCAGCTCTATGTGCCTTTGCTACTGAACTTGGGCAGAAGTCTTTCTTTGATGTCTGCTTTAAAGAAAGACGCCTACAAGGCTGTGTTTTCAGGAAGGCTTCCTCTATAGGAATTTGAATATTCACACCATATGGAGCTCTTCTTGATGAGAGTTTTCCGCTCACAGCACCCTTTCTTCCTTCACAGTGCCAGTGTGTTTTACAGCTACAGCTGCTTTGTCTGAACTCACCTTGCCCTCAGCCCGCAATTTAAACACTTCTGTGCTGGTTACAAACTTCACTTGCACATCTTTCCACTTCCTCCTTGTAAATCTGACAAAAAGCACAGCCTGCACACTATGCTGTTTTGAGATTTCCTCAGCCAATCAACCCAGTCCACTGCCTTTAGAGTTAGCCTCACCCCAGTTCTCAGGACACTGGCAGAATGAAGCCAGATTCTTTGTCTGAATGTCATAGTAATTGGTCTCTGATCCAATTTCTGATACAAGGCAAGTCCTTCATCCCCTCAATAGCCTTGTAAGGAAGCACAGTCTTTGTTGTTTACCCGTATACTGGCGTTCTTATCTTCCCCACCAGAATAAACCATTAACTTCTGTGTATAGCAGTATAGGGCCTCTCTGGCCTACAGCTCCAAACTCTATTACAGTCCTGCAAATTAGTTCCTAAGGCTTATGAATTGTGTGGTCAGAGAATCTCAGCAATGCTTCCACTTCTTGGTGCTAATTTTTGCTATTACCAACTTTTCACATTTCTGTGACCACCTACATGACAAGGAGCAACTTAAAGAATGCTCATGTTTTGAGTGCATGTAAGCCCAGCATGGTAGAGAAGTCATGGAGATGGGATCAGCTCATCTGCAACCTTGGGAGCATGAGGCTGCTTGTTCACATCTTGGCAGATCAGAGAGCAGAGGAACCAGGAGCAGAACTAGGGTGTGCACCTCAAGGCCAGTCCTCAGCAGCACACTTGCTCACAAGTCATTCACAACCTTCCCAATACCAGCAGCAGCTGTGGGCCCAGTGTTCAAACCCATGAACCAGCCCATGGAGAGGATAGTTCATATCCGAACCCTAACACCCTACTTTATGAAATTATGAGACTCAGAAAAATACTGGTCTGGCATCTTCAATGCATGACTTTCTAAGCTCAAGTGCAATGACGACTACTTGGTAATAGGTGAGGATAAGGTGAGCAAATGAAGCACACGTGAAGTTTTAATAGGTTAGATATAGAAATGGCTGTATCACTTTTACTTACATTCCTCTGGCCAAAACTAATGCATGTAACTCCCCTGGCAGCAAGAAGGGTAAGAAGTATGGTATATTGTATGCCCAGGAAAAAAAGGAAATACATCTAGTGACTAGTGGCCCCTCGGTAGCTCAGGTGTCCCTTCAACCCAGGCTATTAAAACTCATGTTCAGCCAATGAACAACCTCTCCTCTGGCTTCCATTGTCTAGTGGTTCCTGCAGTTCCTTCCTGTGAAGTGCCCACTTCTGTCATGAGTGGGAGTGTTGTAGAGCTGCGGTGTCAAGATAAAGAAGGAAACCCCGCTCCCGAATACACATGGTTTAAAGACGGCACCAGTTTACTAGGGAACCAAAAGCTTGGCAAACACAACAGCTCATACACAATGAATACAAAATCTGGAATTCTGGTAAGGCCGTTTCAGGTATTAAACACTAACCGTCATTGTGATGAAACAAATGGTTATTAGAACCTAAAATTATATAGGATGACAGATCAATCACACTTACTAAGTGGGGAGAGGAGATGGGAGCAGGAGAGAGGATAGCGCATGTACTAAGTGATGGGACAGACACCATGGGAAGTGGGAAATGGAACAGGCAACCAGGGAGCTAAGGTGTGACCAGGAACTTGGGGCAGACCAAACCGCGTTCATGATGGATCAGGCAGTACTCTAGCTACCTCTCGGGCCTGCAAAGTCACTGACCTCAGCCTCAACTTACGCCACTGAGGAAATGCACAAAAAACTCAGCTGGGGATACACGGACCTCAGTGATAACATGGAAACAGCGACCACAAGAAAACCACGTTAGGATGTTGGGGTCATTAAACTTTCCCAAGGCTCCAGATCTTTCTTTTGCTACAGTTTCTGTGGCTTACTTATCTAGAACCTTAACTTGGATTGTTTTGATTGTTTGCTCCTTTCCTAGAGGGAACTGAGAGGGCTCCATAAATACGCTGTTCACGCTTAATGACATTTTTTATAAAGCATGTTTACTTTTTCATCTATGACTTTTCAGAGCAGAGGTGGGCCAAAAAAAAAAAAATCAGGTCATTTAATTTGAAGCCATTTGTTTCCAATCCAAATAATATCACATTGGGTTTTAAATGTTTTGTTTCCAGCAACCCCAAATCACTACCACAACTATTATGAAAAACACTCTTACAGGTAACATTAAAATTCATCTTAGGAATTTTGAAACAAAGGTACAGTCTTTCCTTTTATTCTCTCTGCTAGTGCAGTGCCACATAGAAACCAGATCTTCTGATGCCTAGGAAAGCACACTAGTTCTGTAACTAAATGGGGGGGGGGGGCTGCTGCGCGCAGAATAAGGCCATGCCCTAGCCTTTTCCAGTCCTCAGCAGCAGTCAGCAGGTCCGAGCGATTTTACACTGTGACATTGGGCACAACACCTGCTGTCACACTCTGCTATATTTACTCTTCGGATTTATTTTTTTCTGAGTGGGTGATAAAAGCCCCGAGGCAAGTCTGAAACGCTAGGATCCACTCTCCTCAGGGAGCCTCAGCCCTCGGGGTATCTGGAAGGCCATCTCATGCCCACGCGCAGCTTATACTGGAGTGAGCTCTTCGACCCCCCCACCCCCCCACCCCCTTCCAGAACTCGCCAAGGCTATCAAAGTACTACTACAAATTAGAAAGCCTTTTATACCAAATTCTTACCTCTCGTCACTTGGCAGGGAGTAGTAAGGGTTGAACTTTCATTTTTTCAGAATTTCCAAATACTCTGGAATTGCTATAATTTACAATCCTATAAACAGCCGTTGAGGTTTCCTGGGTCCAGAGCCACTTCCTGGCCATAGCTCTGACTCTTTGGAGAAGGTGCTGGTGATTGCTCCTGCAGGGAACCCACTGGGACTGAGAAAGTGCACCAACCTTTTCACTAGGGAGCGGTCCTTTATGAATGGCCCTCCCGAAACTAGAGGTATGGAGGAGGCATGTAGCTGTAACGCCAGCTGTTTGAAGGCTACCAGGGAGGATGAGGAGTTTGCAGCCAGCCTGGGAAACATGGCGATATACTGTTGAAGGTAGCGGAGAATGGAGGAAGAGAGACAGACAGATTTCCTCAGAGAGTCTTGTCTTTTTCTGTCAAATTAAATAGGCCTAGCTATTTACTTCTCGAAGTCCTGGCAGATTCTAGTAGAGACATACCTCAATTCGCAAGTTCTGAGTCATTACAAGGGACATACCCAGCTGATGACAAAATTCCTTAGTTTTTCAGGAGTCTACTCACAGATTTACAGTTTAAAGGTTAAAAAATTTTTTCTTTGTCCAAATAGCAATTTAACATGATTTCCAAGATGGACAGTGGAGAGTATTACTGCGAAGCCCGTAATTCTGTCGGACACCGCAGGTGCCCCGGGAAACGAATGCAAGTAGGTAAGCAGGGGGATACTGAGAAGCGCCGGTGTGCGAGTGAGGTGTGGCTTAGTGGTGATTGAAGGACCCAGGGGATGGATGGAGGGGCTGAGTGATTTGAAGGACGGTTGGAAAAAATGTAAAATGAGCTTACTATTAAAAAAAGTATTGTTTTCAGTCTCTCTTCTAATCGAGGCAAGACAATTTGGCTTATGCATAAGCATGTTTTGAATTTTTCAAATAAATGTTTTAAAATGTGCTTCTAGAAAAATCTGTGTTAAAAAATCACGGCCAAGTGTGCTACAGTATGTGTTCCTGGGAGCCCACATAAACGTCTGCTCCAGCTTGCTACACATTTCAGTCCCTGCAGTCACAACACTGGGCAGGGGTTGTGCTCAATGTCACAATGCAGGAAAATAATACAGCCGTGCTCATGTGCTATATCTATGTTAGCCATATGGGTTATTGTTATTAAGGCACTGGCGATGGTTGTGTCAGTGCCCTGGAACACTAATACTAACTTCAAAGTAGGTTTTCCAAGAGTCACACGAAATAGTTATGGATCTAGATTGTTCAAACGGTAGTTACAATATGTTATATTTCACAAAGTGACTTTTAGAATCCAAGAGAATGACAGCGTACAAATCTTTCCTAGGAAATATGAGTTTCAGAGAGCATAACCGCCACCCCGCCCCCACCCACAGGATCAAACCCAGGACATGAGTGGATGTCAGAGAAGGGTTTCAGGGATTGTGTTCTGGAGAGACGGCAAGTGCCTTTACACACTGTGCCATCTTGCCAGTTCTAACGCTTAAGATTTTGGCAAAACCTGGTTCTCTGAATATTTTCAATCAGCTTTGAGCCATGTCTTGAAATTAACTTACTTAAATTAACTTAGTTAAATGTATCCTTAACATTGCTACCAAGGGGAGCTTTTATGACTCTGTTGGATTTCATGATGGTATGTGTCCATGAATTCATACATGCATTATTTCACATTCCAGATGTTCTCAACATAAGTGGCATCATAGCAGCTGTAGTGGTTGTGGCCTTCGTGGTTTCTCTATGTGGCCTTAGTGTGTGCTATGCTCAGAGAAAAGGCTACTTTTCAAGTAAGTTGAATTCCTCTCTCAGATACGTGATTTCCTGGGAGTAGAGAGACTTCTTTTTAAGGTACACCGCTTCTCCTATGAAGTTCTACCCACTGTGCTATAGATAACACCCACAATAACATGTATAAGGGTGGCGATGCACGTTGGCAACCAGAGCAGGGTGGGGTGAGGTGGAGAATGCTTCTTTTTTGAAAACTTCTAGGCAATTCCATGGACTGTGTGAGAATTATCCTTGGACTGTAACAACACAGACATCCAATGTAGACAAATGTTTATGGTGTATTAATATATTGTGAGATCCTTATATTTTAAGTTGGAATTATCTTTTTCAAGATAGACAACTGGTTTTTAATTTTACAACCATCAGTGAAATGTTTCTGTATAGAACTGTGGAATGCTGAATGTCTAATTTAGTACAACTATAAAGAAAATTGTCAACCAAAACTAGAAACCTAGTTGGGCATGGTGATACATGTCTGGGATCCCAGATCTGGAGGGCAGGGCAGTGTCATGAGAAGAGTCAGTTTGAGACAAGCCTAGGCTCTACAGAGAGATCCTGTTTCAAATAAACTACAAACAAAACCAACGAGCACACATAGACCCTACTGAATTAGAGATGCTTCCAGACAAGGTTTTTAGTTCCTCCTGGTTAAACTCTTGTAACTTCAAAATACATTTGACTATGCAATTAGTTTTCTATACATTTTTAAGATTTAAACATCTTTAATTTTCTTAATGTATTCACTTTCTCCTTGTGTTTAAATTTATGAAAGTGACAGAGCTTTTACTTGCTGCATTGACAAAAGGGTATGAAGTTGAATTATTAAATAAAATAATAAATTCTAACATGCATGAATTTTAGAACCATTGCTTAATAATGGTTATTAGTTTTAGAACTTAGGTTGAAAATTATTCATATCAAAATAAAACAAAATTAAATGGAGTTCCTGATAACGTAAATAAACGTTATGCATCAGATATATTTTCATGAAAACTGATTCAAGGTAATTCCTTATACTTAGCTACTGCAGGGCACAGAGTTCACACATGTAATTACAACACTCCTAAGGTTGAAGCAGTAAGATCGTAAGTTCAAGGCCAACTTGGTCTACAAAATAAGACCCTGTGTCAAGAAAAAAACAGCGTGAACTGTTATGTGAATCAGAGTTGAGCCTAGCCTAGCCTATTTTATGAATAGAATATAGCTGTGTCCCCCTGCTGGGCAACAGTGAAAGTATGAACAAAACTATCATTCAAAATTCCTAACATCTTTACCTACTTAGAAAAAGCCCCTGATGACATTTAAATGAGGAATCAGTAAAGATACTTTTCTTAAAATACTGAGAACTGACCTGGGACTTAATAGTTCATTAGCTAAGATTATTACTTCCATTTTGCTATGGCAGAAAACCTGTCCAAGGCAACCATATTTTTTGGTTTTTTGAGACAGGGTTTCTCTGTAGCTTTGGAGTCTATCCTGGAACTAGCTCTTGTAGACCAGGCTGGCCTCGAACTCACAAAGATCCACCTGCCTCTGCCTCCTGACTGCTGGGATTAAAAGTATGCACCACCACCACACAGCCTGCAACTGTATTTTTAAACTTGTGTTTGGGATCTGCATCAGCAAACTATAACCTCTGGCCAAGCCCGGTTTATATCTGTTTTTCTTTTCTTTCTACTTTTTGTCTTCTGGAACCGGAAAATGAATCCAAGACTTTGTACACACTAGACAACTGATCTGCTACTGAGCGACATGGCCAGCTTTCCTTTTGCTTTTTTTGACACAAGTCACTCTAAACTGCCCTGCTGACTTTGAACTTATGATCACGCTGCCTTAGTTTCCCAAGTATCTGGGATTATAGGTTTGCACCATCAGGCCCAGCTCCCTGCCTGTAAATTTTTATAGATGCAAATTTCAAATTATTTAAGAATCATAACACTACCTTGGAACCACATTTCAAAGAAATGTTAGTTCTATCCCAAAAGAATCCTACTATTTTAATATTATTAATATTAGTAAGCTAATGAGACAATTATTATTTCTTAAATTTTAATAACATTTTTGAAACTTTATTTTCTTCTTGGTTATATAATTCCAAAGTATTCTTGATTTTACCCCTGAGCCCTCAAAGCCCAAACATATGTTGTACATCACATTTTATAAAAAAAATTTTAATTTAGAAGGTACAGATGTTACAGAGACTTAAAAGGAGTCAAGCCAAAGTCACTATAGATAGATCTGCATATCAATTCTTGCACTAATGATCTATACTTGTTCTTTTGCAGAAGAATCTTCCTTCCAGTAAGTATCCTTTCGTAACACATTTTTCTTCATATCTTTTATTCTTTAATCATCTGTTTAATGTCAGAAGTAGTTTATTTGTATAGAGTAATCTTGTTGGAAGTTAATTGCCTTCATCAGGAAATACATACTACCTCTGTGCCTGCCTATAAACAGCAGAAGAACATAGTCTCTAATTTTGTCGACATTTCCATAGTACAACTTCTAAAACACGTTTCTATGTTTCACTAAACATTTTTAAATAAGCTTTCACTTAGTAATTTTTATACTTAGTTAAAATTTAATCAGACTTAGTTAAAATTTAATCAACACTGTTGTAGGCACTGCCATTATCAGGTTTTTAAAGGCCAAAACACCCACAAAATCACTACTGGAAATCACATAACAAAATAAGGATCATTATGGAGCTCATGTTCCAGTAGCAGAAAATAAGTAAACCTGTACACTCTCGAGCACTTCAGAGCGCGACAAGAGCTATGGAGGGAAATAAACCGAGTAAGAACGTAGAGACTACAGAGACTGGGAGTGGAGACAGTCATTTAAACGGAGGGCCTAGCAGGGACACGGGTGGTGTTTGGAGAAGATGGAGGATGAAAGCGAGTCAAGCAGTTACCACAGTTGGTGTTCTTGCAGAAGAAAGAGGAAAAAAACCCAAAAGTGCTCAAGGTCAGGATGCCCGTATCACAAGATATGAAGATGAGCACTGTGCTTGCTCTCCAGTACGAGAGGAGAGGAGCGAGCACATGAGAGTACTGGAGGTTGCTAAGCAGGTTTGAGGATTTTGAGGCATCTGGCTTTGGTTCTAAGGAACGTAGGAAGTCCACGAAGGGCTGTCAGCAGCTTTAAAAATTTTAATTCTTTGATGTTCATCTTGGTTTTTCTGTTAAGAATACACTTTAAGGAAAAAAAGGTGAAAGCAGGTAGATCAATTAGAAAATGGGTATGAACCAAGACAAGACAGCTTATGGTAGCAACCTGGTAATGTTGGAGTACTGGACAGTTTATAGCATAGTGGATATATTCTCAGCAATTACTTGATCTCGAATCAGGCTGTTAGGAAAAACAGAAAGTGGGAGGTGGCTTCAGGTTCACAAGGACAAATCCTCTACTTACGGAACCTGGAAGAGAGCAGCAGGTGTGGCCTTGGGAGAAAGGTCTCAGGGAGGGGAGGTCCAGAGTGCTTGAACTTTCAGTACTCTTGCTTACTAAACTCGTAAGTAGAAATAATCAGTAACAGAATATATATGAATGTGGAGTTTGAGGGAAAATCTTTTTCTTTTTTAGTTTATTTTTATGTGTCTGAGTGTTTTGCCTGAATGTATGACTGTGTACCAAGTACATTCATTATCCATGGAGGCTAGAAGAGGGTGTCAGATCTCCAGGAGTTGGAATTGCAGATGGTTGTGAGTCACTGTAAAGGTGCTGGGAGCTCAGTTCTCTGCAAGATTAGCAAGTGTTCTTTTTGTTTGTTTTTTTGTTTTGTTTTGTTTTGAGACAGGGTTTCTCTGTAATTTTTGGGCCTGTCCCGGAACTAGCTCTTGTAGACCAGGCTGGCCTCAAGCTCACAGAGATCCACCTGCCTCTGCCTCCCGAGTGCTGGGATTAAAAGCGTGCACCACTACCACATGGCCTTAGCAAGTGCTCTCAAGTACCAAAACATCTCTCTAACCTCTGGGAGTAAAAAATTAAGTCATGCCAAAGACATGGATAAGATCATCAAAGTCATAGGTTCGTTGTACTTGCTCTGCGACTGCCCACCCTTTATAGATGGGCACTGCAGATCCCCTATACATTCTTCCCTCTTCCCAGCTGGCATGGCTTTTTATATATGGGCATTGCAGATCCCTATACACTCTTCCCTCTTCGCAGCTGGCATGGCTTCTCTTAAATCCTTTGAGGACTCACCTGTCATGCCTGCCCCTCAACCCTGGTGTCTCAATCTCATGGCATTCCAGTATAAATACAGGTCAAAGTCTAAATATCAGGATTAGCAAAGGGGAATTTCAGAAGAACAGAACAACCTGAGTGTATAGTCACTACCCAATCCCAAACCCGCCCCAGGCAACTATGAGCACTTAAATTTTTTATTAAGATGCAAAATGATTGGAGCATTTTTTGAACAGAGTGAAAAGTGATCATAAATAAAGAGGGGGGGGTTATACTTTCTTTCTTTGAGTGTCTGCCAAATCAGGCAGGAATCTTCATAATCCAGGAAGGAACATTTTATTTCCTTACACCTTATGTCCACTCATGAAACCTGTAGTCTTCAAATTGAGCTTCTAGTAGAACCCCAATCAACATGTAAAACTTTCCATGGGTGAATGAAATTTCAGATTATAATAATCAAACTTTTAAAATATTTATGTTATTATATCAGGTTGAAAGTAAGACCCTTGTTTGCATATTCCAAAAAAACAATTTAACATGTTAGCCTTAGGCTACATTTTGTTGTTCGGGATTTCACGCAAATCTGTACTTTGTTGCATGGCTTCTCTGGGTACTGTCTATAAATGTCAGGAACCAGTCTGGGCTGCTGGCTTTTCTTCCTGCTTGGCTAAGATAGTTCTGCTGAATAAGGATGGGTTCCAGGATTGGAAGTAATAATAAATACTGTCTTTGTGTTCTACAAACAGGAAGGGCAGTCCTGCATCTAAAGCCACGGCAACGAGCGAAAACGTAAGTACTAATAAAGTATGTTTATAGAATATGTGTATTTAGGGACTATGGCAGGGAAATGAAGCAAATATATGGATACTGTGATGACATTCTTAAGACTTTAGATTTGTGTCGATCACTGCTACACTAAAGGATCTAAGTAAATGTTCACTTCCTTTCCATCTGGGCCAGCATGATAAGATGTTTGATATTTACAGAGCAGCTCCAGGAAGTGGTTTTCATCCTGTTTCTGTTGGGGGTATTCAGCTCTCAGTCTCCCTTCTTACGGTGACTGAGTCCAGCATTATCAGTCGGCATTTCTGATAGATGAGGAAACCGAGTACAAGTTCTCACAGGCTAACACTGGTGGAGGTGGAGTCCAGGTACCCTGTGTCTTTGAAGTCTACCATGGCTATTACCATGCTACGGCTCTAGAACTTGGTTATTCCAAGCATTTGGAAATGTTAGGGATATAAAACAGCATCTGCTACTGCAGTAAAAGGAAATTATCATCGAGCTGAAGTCAATTAGAGAATATCATTTGAACCTGTTAGACTACTTGGTAATTTAACAACAGAGGGAAACCCAACATTCTCAGAAGCTTAAACCCTTTCCTGAGAAAAGAGGATTCCTAGAACCCCTTTAAAACTCTAGGGAACGGAGTCTAGGCTTCTTCCAGCAGAATTCAGGCATCAGTACCTTAAACATTTAGGTTCTAGTAGAAGATGCGTACAACACCCATTTATTGTTCTGTAGGTTTTTTTTCCTGTAAAATTCTTTAAAATCTACTTACTTTAGGATCTACAACAAAAGTTACATTTTGTAGTTTACTGCACTAATCTTTAATTAGGGAACAAATACCATGTCCTATTATCATCTATAATTTACAGTGAAAGTCTTTAAGATTGGAATAAAGTAATTTCATCCTGTCAAACAAGAAAAAGGACTTTGTCTCCAAATTAAAGGGAAAGGATCTGTGTGTGTGTGTGTGTGTGTGTGTGTGTGTGTGTGTTGTCTTCCTCTCAGCTATCCTCATCAGCTCCCCTAGTCTCCAGTTGAGTTTCGCCCTGCGGCAGGGTTTCCAACCTCACAGTGCTGGGCCACATTGCCGTGTTGCCTTGTGTTGCTCATCACTATTGGAAGAGCAGCGGCCATTGCCCTAGCACATGCCTAACGAGCCACGGTCCTCTTGCGCTAACTCCTGCCCGAGTTCTTTATTCTCAGCAAATTTCAAGCTTTTTGACTTCTAGCTTTTACTTAATTGTCCATAAAATTAGATTTAGTTACATATATACTGACTGTAACTCTAAAAATCTTATAGTTTGATACTCTTAAGATTTATATGAATGCATTTATATATGAAGTAGTACATTACATTTAGGATTTTTTTCTTTCTTTTCTAGGATTTCAAGCACACAAAATCCTTTATAATTTAAAAGAATTCCACTTTCAAGATGCGCCAAAACCAGTTGTCACACAAGTTATTAAAATATTATAAAAATATGCTTTGTCTTACATTTGCAAAGAGATGAATTAGGAAATGACATCATAATTTTTATGACCTCTAGTTTACCTGAAATTGTTATTTTAAGCAAAGAGTTCTTGTCACCACTTAAAATACATTCTGGCATCCTGTGTCTGAACTTAAGAGAAGTGAATTACCTGGTAATATTCAGAGTTTTGTGAAATGCAAATGAATGTTCAAAGTTTTAGAAAATTTAATATATATTTGACTGTGAAGCTAACCTAAGAGGCAAGTATACAATGCATGTGCTCTCTGCAAGAGTGGCTTGTGTGTTCAGGAAATACTCTAAAGAATGGAAACTCTGATCTCAAAATTCCCACCAGAACCTTCTTACCACAAAATACCCCTTATTCATGTGGTCCTTTGCTCTAAGATATCCATAAGGGAAGCCCAGGGCTCGGTCCTACGCCCAAGGATTTGCACTTCGTGTTTACTTTCACTTCTCAGAACCAAAATCAACACGAATGGAGCTGCTTGCTGCTATTTCCATTTCCTGAGCCTCCTTTAGAGGCTGGACTTCAGAGCGCAGTATTAGAACCTACACAACTTCGCAGACACCTTGCTCTGCCTGAGGTGATCTTACACCTTTCTCTAAAAGCAATTCTGAGCTGGGCAGGTCCTCAGGTCCTCCACTGCTGAATCTGCTTATAATGAAAAAGGGACATACATGGGGGAGAGAAGTGTTTGCGTATCTGTAAAATGTAAACAAATGAGCTCATTTTGACTCCCAGCTTGCTTGATACAGCAAGGGCACATGAGAAACCATGGCTGAAAAGAGACATGGGTCTCATGTTTTCTGAGATGTTTAACCACAAAGGCCAGCAGCCGATGTCCGAATATAAAATTCCCAGGGCTCAAAAGTAAAACCAGTCCATGTTGAAAGCAAACTGTAATTAGAGATATCTAGTTCTGGGTAATAGCGTGAAAAGGTCCTTTACTCCTTGTGTCAGCTTTGAACACGGTCAAGTTGGCTTCCAAAGAATTTGTTCTTTCTACCCGAAAGGCAAAGCAGGTTCTCAGGATTCACTGACCAATGGAGTAGGTGGTCACTGAGTACTTAATAGCGGTGAGGTCACTGAGGAGTTATCCACTGCCATGCTGCTACCCTTTAACTTTGTGGCCTTCAGTCCCTCTCGGTAGACTCCTTCCTAAAGGTCTAACTTCTATAATGTGGCTCTGCTCTCAAGGTCAGATTCACACTTAGTTGAGCCAGCAAACTCTACAAAGAACAAGACAGTAGATATTTTAACCCCCATGGTTCCTGCTGTGGTCACTCAGCTCTGTCACACGATGTAGAGAACAAGTATGTGTGGCTCTGTTCCAAGAAAACATAACTGACAAAATCAATGTCATAGGTGGGATTTGCCCACAGGTACAATCTCCTCATTCCTGGTAGCAAATCACAAACACCAAAAATGTGTGCTGTATGAGAGATCAGGGTAAATGCTGCCTATGCCATGACTATGAGACTTGCTTTAGTAGAAGCAATGCTGTCCTCTGCAGTGCCAAGTAGACACAGAACTCTCAAGGATGCCTCTTCAGGCCATATACCACCATCACAAGATCAACTGCTTCAGCTCAAACGACACAAATCCAGTGTGAGAGGACAATTATGTAGTGCCTTAACTTCACTTAGATATGCAAAGCTTCCTTTTAAGACACTGAAGCCTGAAGATTCTTTTTATGCAATGATAAAAACTAACAAAGTCTGTGCCAAATATCTATTATACATCATTAACTAAAATACTGTAGCGCTAAGCAGAACACTGCCTAAAGAACACTTTCTTCTACACGAAGGCTGTGACTGCGAACACTAACCTAGTACCTATCAGCGGTCACCGCCATGTCCATTTGCTCTTTTCTGAGACTCAGAATCAAAATTGTAGTTTATCAAGCGTTTTGATTGTTTTTCTACAGTGAACCTGTGATGGGGCTCTAGAAACTATAGTAACAACTTTTGTTTTAGTATTGTTGCTGTTGTAACTAGAGCCAATTTATTTTTAGTTAGGGTGGGAGTTAGCTTAACTAAGTCTGAGTATTTATTTTTCAATACAACTTTACAAAGAACTTCCTTTATTCTACAGCTCACTTTTTGATTAAAGTCCACATTACAAAAATAGCTACAGGCAGCTAAACTTTTTAGCCCCATTCAATAAAGCAGGGGAAGTCACTCACCTATTGTTCAGTAAAGCCCAGGAAACCCCTCCCTCTTACCACCTGCAGCTGTGAGGCAGCTCTGCAGAGTTAAGATGAGAATCTCAGTGCTCAGCTTAGACACCTGCCAACTCCTAAAGTCAGAAAATAAACAGGGAAAACTGATGCTTTATGTATGTCAGAGGTCGGGGATGAGGAAGTGCACAGTCTCATTCCTCTTCTAAGAGGAATCAAGAGGAGTCTGTCGTTTTACAGAGCTGGTGATTTCAGGTTTCAGGGCTGTTGCTGGAGGAGCTGGGTTCTTAGTGAACACCCGTCCACCTAATTCACAGCTCACTTTTTCTTCATTGTAAATCCTCCAGTTCCCCATACTTTGTCTTCATCCTCAGTAACCTCTCTGGCTTGTCCAACCCTCCCTGACCCTCAGACCTACCTGTCTTCTACACATTGTGTCATGGTTGGCACATCTTTATCCCACTATGCATTCTGTAACCATGAGCATGTTTATCCACACTGCCTTCCAAATCTCTGACCTGGTATCTTTAAATGTCTTACAGAATAACATTTTCAGCATATTTCCTTTTGGTTGATTATCAACCCCCACCTCCTTTCCCCTTTCCTGATTGATGTAGGGCCCTTATGACTGTGGGTATTCTTCCATTCCATCCTATTGTCTTCCCCTTAAGCCTCTACCCATGGGTTACTTCTACCTCCCACCTAGATAAACATACTCAGCAGCAAGAAGTTAGAACCCAGTCAGAACTATGACATTTGTTTGAGTCCAATCCTTTCCAGTGCCATCCATTTTCTGGCAATTATACTTGATTTCATGGCTGAATAAAATTGTTGTAATTTTTTGTTTTTAATTGCTAAAGTTAGTTATAAACAATGCTGCATGTAAATTCTGGCTACAAAACCAACCCATCCCTAATTTTCTCCATCTTTAGCCACCCCATGGTGCCATTAAAACTGGAATCTCAGGCTTTCGGTAACCTCAACTTTTCTTTCTGGGGCCCTCTCTCAAGACCCTCTTCCAGTCACCTAACGGCTCCTGCTCTAAGGCATCCCCCTCCTCATGCCCTCTGACAGCTTGCTCACTGTCAACAATAAGAACTCGTTTCTCTTTTCCTTTAGTCAGTCACAGCTGGGGGTGAGGAAGGCTCCTCCTGTTCTCTTACACATTTGCTCATACAATAACCCACCTGATCGGCCACATCCCTGTCTTCAGTGGCTGCACCATTATTCACCAATCAACTGAACTGTTTGTCTTTACAATTTATTCTGCCCTTGTGAATACATTCATTTACAACACTTCTTTTGGAATGCTAGTCCTCCACAAGCTATGGAAATACTATCTACTCCTAACAGACAAGTCAAATTCAACTACTCTAGCAAGTTTCTTCTCTGAATGAATTCCCAAGGTGTTTGATTCTTTTGTGATATCCACTTGTTTCTTTGTTATAGTACAGGTAGGTATGGACATGTCTGACACCCAGGTCTTCATAAACCCCAAGGTATTTAATAGTATCTAACATGAAAACAATTCCTAAAACTGCTGAATACCTGTGAAGCACAAAGAATGATTAAATGTAAGCATCTACTTAGAGTATTAATAAAATATTATATTCTGATACAACTCAGTTTGTCTTCTATGAATTGTTATTACATGAAATACAGATGGACAAACATTATGTTTCCCTTTTAGCAATTAGGAGTTTGTTTCCACACAATTCTCTTTTTATGTAGGTGAGTAGTTGCCTCCATGTATGTCTGTGCACCACGAGTGGCATTGGACATCAGAAGGAATCAGAACACCCCGATCTGGAGTTAGAGATGGTTGTGAGCTGCCATGTGAGTGCTGGATATCAAAACTCAAATCCTCTGGAAAAGCAGACAACTCTCTTAACCATTGTGGCATCCCTACAGCCCTATACACACAATTCTTAAATCTTTTTCCATCTCTTATTTCTTATTCAGTAAGATTGGGAATATTTAAGCAGTAATAACTGGTATAGAAATCTAAGTGAACTATCATGTTTGATTTGCTGGTACCAAATTATGCCAATTTTTAATGTGTTGTATTTTTACTTTACCAAATTCAAGTACAAGGACCCACTATGTCTTTTTACTTTCTATGAAGAAAATGCTCTCAAAATAATGAATAGTTTGTCAACAAAGAACCCATTTAGTTTAAGACTAAGACAGATACTTTCTAATATTCATTTTATGATTGATTTTCTGCTTTTAATATGCTACCTCTAAACATTCTAAAAGATACACAAAAACTGAGCATGTTTCTATGATCCATAGTTGGATTTTTAAAGTAACTACTGCTCTCAATTTTTGTTTTGAAAACACCTTGACTTCAAAATTGAAGTCAAAAGGCATGTTACTTTGGAGAAGAGATTTTGCTTTTATTTCCACAGGAAATGAGAGGCTGTGGATTCATTCTGAGTTAAGAAATATCATGTTTGAACAAGGAAGACCACCTGAAAAATCTCCTGCAGGAACAGATGGCCGGAACAGAGTTTTACATCCAGAATGGATTCAAGATGCTGCCTGAGATGATCAAGCCTCACAGGAAACTCCAGTCAGGACTTGATCATAAGATTATCAGCACCCCCAACCAGCCGGAAGTAGTCTGGAATACTATGCCCACATTCCCAAAAAAATGGACTACGGCTATTTTCCTTTGTTTAAAAAAAAAAAGAAAAGAAAAGAAAAAAAGGAGGGGGAAGTGGTGCGGGTGAACAATTCTTTATCTGTCAATTCTGTTTTAAATAAACGTTGATTGGTCGGTAGCCAGGCAAGAAGTACAGGAATT